AGCGGACTACAAAGACAGGCATCTAATTCCTCCTAGCCCATTCGTGTGTGCCATTTATGAAACAACAAAATATGCTTGGTCACATGTTTATATCAGTAAGCAAACATGTCTTTGCAATGGAAATGTATCTGCACTAAATGAATTGTGAAAAGCTATTTGAGTAAGCCCTTAAAATTGTGGCTTCATCTTTCTAGCTCTCAGGATACTAAACAACACTTTCTAGCTCTCAGGATACTAAACAATCTCCATTGTTTTAAAAGTTGGTGTTTTTAAAATCCATGGCATCTTTCACATTTGTGCATGTGTACTTTAACTACATCTCAGCCAATTTATCCCTGGGGCAAATTAAAATAGATAAATACTATTGTTACTAGATAAAAGTATTGTGGTTTTATTTTTCCTAAAACCATTTGGACTTTTTCCTTCCCACAAAATTGGTTTCAGTGTCTTTTGAAGTACAATTTGTTATGTTCCTGTTTTGTAGATGGAAATATCCTAAAGTTTCTTAGTTGTTTTGTTAGAAATCACTTTTCTCAGAAAAAATCAAAATAGTGATACTGTGAGGTAAATGGTAGCTCATTTTATGCAATTGCTTATAGTTGGAAATTGCTTTTTTCATAACTTTTTTTCTATTGGTTCTTTTATTTGAAAGTCCATTCTTGAAATAAGTGATGTATTTGCAATAACTGTGGTTGGCTGAATTAAAGAATGAGTAATTGTCAATGGTGGTTTTTGATAACCAGTGATACGGCACCTAGAGCAAGGAAGGCCTGGTGACCTACTTCTGAAAAATCAGCCACTGGAAGGCCCTATGGAGCACAGTTCTACTCTGACAGACAGGGGGCCGCCATGAGTCAGAGTCAACTGATGACAACTGGTTCGGAGCTTATTGTATCTGTTCAGTGAATCTTTCACATGATTTATAATATTTCACATGCCTGAGACCATGGAAACCTTTCAGAAATATAAAAATCAATGCAATTTGCTGAATATGGAAATTGTTAGTTCTTTCATACTTATCTTATTTTTCTTACCTCATGTATAAAGTATTGATATCAACCCTCAGGCCACTAAATTTTATCTTAGAGAACAAAATATTACAGAAGAGAGACAGAATATTTTCTATATATACTTGGAAAGCTGTAAATGTTCTAAAATTCTAAACGTTCATGATTTCAAATGCTGCGTGTACTTAGATAAGTGGTGCTGGTCTATTCCATGGTATCTATTATAATTCTAATAATGCAGCTTCTAAAAAAGATATCAAACAAAAAAAATCAAAAGATTTGAAATTTAGGCTATGACAAGAATTAAGAAAATGCAGAAGGGACTGGTAGATTTTTAAAAACTATTTTAATACAAGATTAATAGCAATTTTCTATCCAAATCAAAAAGGAAAAATCTTAACCCAAATAATAGTAATTTGACAGTCATATAAGATTGATTGGTGCACACATTTATTCTGCATATATATTATGGATATGCACACAGAAACCTCACTATTATGTTGTCCTTAGGTGTTTTTTTTCATGGAAGTACCTCCTTACAAGGCAACGTAAAAAATTCCAGTAACTACTCAACTTTGACTGAGGTTCAGAATGGCCTCTGCTAAGTTGAGTACCAGTGTTGTACCATACCGTGAGATAGCAAGGCTCCAGAATGCATACAAATCAATACTCTATTTGTATAACTTGGCCTAGAACTAAACATTGGCTAATGTCTCCAACAAGGCAGAACACGTTGCAAATTTGTAAGTTATGATCTCCTTTACTTTTCTGTTGGCAAAGCTAAATTGCCTTTTTTTTTTTTTCAAAGTCATGTCTGTTAGTGATGATAAGTAAATGAAAATAAGTTTAAATTTCTGCAAATTTTGTAAAAGTCAAAACTTGCATTTGCTAACACCTCTACCTCTAGACAAACCACCTGATAATTAGCCTTGCAAAGAGAAGTAATAAAAGAATCACAACTCAGGAATTTGCTAATTTTTATTTCTCCTTGGGGACGTTAGTTGATGTTCAGTCTGTAGCCAAAACAAGTATGCAATGGCTAAAGAATTAAAGTAGGCTAATGTCTGCAGCAGGAAATATAAATTTTAAAAATTTAATGGAAATATTTTTAAAATTAAGTATCAGGGTTCTGTTTCCAATATGTTTGATTTAAAGAATGTTACTTTAATAGTTACTACCACTAGCCAATGAATAATAAGGTTTTTCAGTGTAGACAAAATAGTATTTTCCGTTCTTCCCATTTAAAGTAGAAGACACAAGTTACTTATCCTGGGCAAGTTACAGTAAGGAGTCAGATTGTTACTGCTCATATTCTATAATGGCCATAATCAAAGTACCAATTTTACCTTCATTAAAAAGGCAGAAGATTGTCACAACTGCCCTTTGATACAGAACCATAAACAGCTTCAGTTTGTGAACTTGCAATTCATTCTTCTCTGCTAAAGACTTTAGCCTCTGTTTATTTTTTGTTATAACATATACAAAGTATAATATACACCAATTACAGACGTGTATTTCTGTTAGAAAAATACATATTATAACTAAAGAACATGTAAATAGAGGCACTTCAATAAGCTAAGTGTTTGCAATTATGAGCATCACCCACCAATTTCTAGTGTCCGATTTCAGTGAGCCCATCTCTCTCCACTCATAACAGAGGTTATGATGTGATCGTGGAAATTAGGGGACATCAGAACAAATAAGGGCAAGTCATGAAAAATAATGGATGTCATGGCATCCCCTATCACTAGGCTATTTCCTTGAAAGGAAAGATTAATTTAGGAGGGAGCAGTCCAAAATACTTACTGAAAAGAGGGTAACTAGGTTAAATTAATTCCCTTAAGGACAGAAAAACAAATCCTCAAGTTAAATTAGCCTGAAAAATCATATTCTGTATTAGGATGATGATAAAAACTAAGAAGTACAACTTGAATAATATTTGACCACATCCATGCATGGTGGAGAATATTGTGGCATCTTTACCTGTTAGTCATTTCAGCTCTCTGCCCAGCTGATATGGATCGCTATATCTCACCAATATGAATGATGTTGATCATGAAGGTTTTGAAATGAATGAAGCAGGAGCTTGTATATTGTCTATGTGTTTAATGTAAGCAGAACATGGATTCATATTCGTTAATATAATGTGTATTCATACACATGCACAAAACTCTTTGGGGGTGAATGCCCAGGGGAAAAAGGCACCCTGATGTGTGTCATAGAAGACAATGAAGAAATAAACAAATAATAATTTTAAAAAGTCTTGGAGTTTAAAGCCATGAGAAGAAGTTATTACTCAAATATTCTGGAAAAATGAAGATTGATTTAATTGGTATTGCACCTTAATTATTGGAGAAGGACAATAATGGATTTTGAACATACAAAGAAATGAGCAACATAAATGAATGGTCCTGATAAAGATGGTAAATGTGTAATTGGTGATAGGAAGCTGAAGTTTGGCAGTGAATGTCTGGTTTTCTTTAAGTACATAATGCTAAATTAGAATAAGTGTTAATTTCATAAACATGTAAATGAAAGGATGCCACAAAGTCTCTGAAAATCTTACATTTCATATTTCATTGGGCATAAAATAGCAAGAGATGCTTGTAAATACTTTGTTTTGTTAAAAGTGCTCAAATATACTTAACACTATTGTGCCGCATGTGTTCTACTTAAATGTGATGACTAAATCAATAACTAATTATAATTTTTATGAGAATGGAGATTGAAAATACCATTTACATGTCATTACTGTCAATGGATTAATTAAAATGTGACTGGCATACTATGGTGTTTTAAAACATTACTTTTTCCAACTCCACATGCATTATAAAAACCAAAAAACACATGGATAGCCAACTGTATTCATAAAGCCCCAGTTTGGTTTATTTTGCTTCTCTCTGTTGGGGGGTGGGGGGTGGGGCATAGGACCTGACATTGGCACACTTAGGAATTGGTTAGGCTGTGGATCTAAGTTGTTGGCCTCCGAGTCAGGTCATTTACCCAAATGCCAAGCAGGACTCCTAGGCCGAAGGCATTATTCATGAAAGCAATGGTTTTGAGTGAATAACACATTCTATATTCATACAGTTTCTACCACCACTGAAGTCCTGCATACCCATGGCTCTCCCCATGGGCTCGGTACAGTCTGGAGCACCCAGGATAAAGCACGCTCATGTGAAAGGGGTGTGCCCTGGCAAACTTTTACTAAATGGACAGTTAGATACGTAAAAAGTTCTCTTTCTTGATTCTTGGTGCTCACAGATCATTGAGGAAACCCTTCTCTGAGCAGCACAAAACAAGAAGAGTTGGTTGACAAAACATTTTTGTTACAAAGGTGTGTCAACCCTGAGCTTGGAATTAAGAAGTTAAAATCTGTGATTTATATATATATAGATATAAAAATAGATGATCATACTAAGACTAAAAAAGTGAAAGAAATCTCCATGTCAATACTATATATATATATATTTTTTGTCTTGACTTTTTTGTTGTGAGTTATTTTGTAAAAGAATGCCCTTGTGATTCAGAAACCAACTGACACAAAGCAAAGAGTTAAAAATTGAAAACTCACATATGGATCTAATTACTGATCAGTTCATTTGAAGAACTGTTATTTTGGGAGGGAGATGAGCACAGAGGCAGAAACATCTAACTAATGTCAAACCTGTGGCAAAAGGAAAGACAGTGCATCACTGAAGATTATTTTTAATCCAGACCCTTGAGAAGGATGAACTGATGGGAGGTGTTCACTACTAACTGAAGATGAAGGGGAAAAAAATCTGTGCCTATTGGATACGATGGTCAGATATAAGGTAATTAAGAAAAATGGTGTCATTATAGAAATTGAAATTGGGCTGGGTGAGAGAGAGGTGCTGAGTTGTAGTAATTTTTTGCTCTCTTATTAAAGATGAAATTCTAAATTTTAGTATCAGTACCTCCAAGTCATTTTGGTCTTGTGTGGTTATAGTAGAAGACAATACCTCCAAGACAACATTGTGTTTTCATTAGATTTAAAAAAGAAATTCAAACTTTTCTCCCCATAAGCATTTTGTAAACCTGATTTGTCACAGAGACGTTTACCCTGGGAGTTGGCTGTCAATGCCAAATTTATAATGTTAAAGTTTTTTTTTTAAATTTTTCTCTCTTGTTTGCTTGTTTGTTGTAAGTTCAGTTATCTTGGGGTTTGTCTTGATTTCACAAGGAGAATTATTTTTTTCTACCTTTTTTTTCTTTTTTAATGAGGGAAAGAAAACAAACTCACAACGTGAGATTCCTTTACTTCTGCAGCATAAAAGCAAATGAAGGTAAGAAAATCTCCTGGTACGAAAGATTTGAGTAAGAATTCTCTCTAGAATAAACAAGGTCCCCACAGATAGCTGAAGGAAAGAGGAAGCAGTTCAGTCTGGCACCCGGTACTCTTTGGGAAAACAAAAAGGGAGGCAGATTGCAGTACTGCTCTCTTCTCATAGAAAATGGTAGGTTTTTGTGGCATGGTCCATTGTCCAATAGTGTAAGAAAAGAAGTAAATTGGCCGTTCAAATAGCTAAAATGCAGTTTCATCTGATCAAAAACCTAGGATTATCTGCACAGTCTCTGAAGTGCCAGGGCGACGCAGAGGAGAGACCATGAAAGCAGAGAATGGCCTAGCTGGGTGGAGGAAGAGTCCACTTCTCTCCGGTCGGAATCAACTGCAGGGGCCTCCGTGGTGACAAATTCAAACTCCGTGGGACACACATCATCCATACATCCACTGCCACTCCCTGAACCACTGGATTCATCACCTGGGGTGGAACGATTGGGAAAAAAAAAAAAAAAAAAATTAGTGTACACCAAGCTTCGTTGCAATGCTATTCACAGCCAAAATGTAGAAACAGTCTAAACGTCCATCAGCAGATAAATGGATAAGCAAAATATTGTGCATACACATAATGGAATATTCCTCAGCCAGTAAGAGAAATGACATCTTGATATATGGATAAATATTGACAACTTATGCTGAGTGAAGTAAAATATAAAAGGACCAATATTATATGATTTGACTTACATTAAAGAATCTAGAATAGGCACGTATATAGAGACCAAAGTTTAATAGTTACCAAGAGTAGGAGGGAAGGGGAAAGAAGGAGTCATTGTTTAGGGGGCACTAGTTTCTGCTGAAGTGCCTTGATAGCACAGTGGTTAAAGTGCTGGGCTGCTAACTGAACCCACTAGTCTCTGCTCCTGAGAAAGATGTGGCAGTCTGCTTCTGCAAAGATTTACAGCCTTGGAACACTATGTTGTTGTTGTTTACCATCGAGTCAGACCCGACTCATAGCGACCCCTCCTTGGCTTCTGAGGCAGTATCACTACGGAAGTAGATTGCCCAACCTTCTTTCTGAGAAATGGCTGGTGGGTTTGAACGGCCAGGCTTCTGGTTAGCAGTCAAGTGTTTTTAGGCACTATGCTACCAGAGCTTTGGAATGCTATGGGATAGCTCAGCACTGTCCTACATGGTCACTATGAGTCGGAATTGACTCATCAGCAGTGGTTTTTTTTTTTTGGAGGGTTTTTTTTTTGTTGTTGTCTTCTTTCCCCTCACTTGGCATTAGTTTCTGTTAGGGGTGATTGAAAAATTTGGAAATGGATAATGATGATGGTTGAATGTGATGAACATAGTTAATGTCACTGAATTGTACATATGAAGAATGTTGAAATACCAAATGTTGTCTTACATGGATAGTTAATTAACTGTGTTTAAAAAAAAACTGAAAAAACAAATCTAGATATTTACTCAAAAACAGAAAGAAAAATCAGTTAGACCACAAACTAATACCAAGTGAGGGGAAAGAAGACAACAAATAAGGGCATGGTGGTGGTAGTGGTGGTGGTAGGCAATTTCCCCCATTTAATAGTCCCCAGGCCAACCCCCAATGCTTTTAATGGGAAAGTTTGTGATGGGCATGTGCACTGTAGAGAATTAGGTTTCTGAATTTCTCTATTAATTGATAGCCCGGGTTAACACAACCTAAGGAATGCCTGAATCCCAGACCTATGTCTGAAGCCATACCTACCAACCTGGCTTTAGAATGGTATTTCTTATTGTGGACAGAGTTTAAATTACTTAAAGATAGCCATTTTTTGTTCTTTATGTACCTCAGAGCCTTATTCTCAGAAGATATGTTTTCACAAAACATGAAAAGATGTTTAAAGGAAAGCACAGAAGAAAACAAATACTGAATTCCTCTTTTAAATTTTTACTCTAAAATTAAGAAATCAGAGGAGGAACCGCAAATAGCTATGGAAGGTATATATTATTATTACTTGTCTACTTTTTTAAAAAAAGAATTAGTTTGGTTAGTGAGAGCATACATAGCCAAAGATATAGCATTTCAACAATTTCTACATGTATAATTTAGTGACATTGATTGTTGTTATTGTTGTTAGGTACCATCAAGTCAACTGCAATTCATAGTGACCCCATATACAACAGAATAAAACACTGCTCAGTCCTTCACCATCCCCACAATCCTTGCTATGCTTGAGACCATTGTTGCAGCCACTGTGTCAATCCATCTTGTTGGGGGTCTTTACCTTTTTCAGTGACCCTCTACTTTACCAAGCATGATATCCTTCTCCAGGGAATTGCCCCTTCTGACAACATGAAGTATGTGAGACGAAGCCTGGCCATTCTCATTTCCAAGAAACATTCCTGGAGCACTTCTTCCAGGCTAGATTTGTTTGTTCTTCTGGCTTGTTGTTGTTGTTGTTGTTGTTGTGTGCCGTCAAATCGGACCCGACTCGTAGTGACCCCTCCTTGGGTATCCGAGGTAGTATCACTACAGAAGTAGATTGCCCAACCTTCTGGCAGTCCATGATGTTTTCAGTATTCTTTATCAACACCACAATTCAAAGGTATCAACTCTTCTTTGGTCCTCCATATTCATTATCCAGCTTTCATACGCATATGAGGTGATTGAAAATACAATGATTTGGGTTAAAAAGAAACCAAAACAATCAAACTCACTGCCATGGAGTTGGATTTCTGAGGTGGTAAATCTTTGCAGAAGTAGATTGCCCAGTCTTCTTTCCATGGAGTAGCTTGTGAGTTTGAACCATCAACCTTCTGGTTAGCAGTCAAATGTAGGCATGATGCCTAGGTGCACTTTAATCTTCAAAGTGACATCTTTGTTTCTTAACATTTTAAAGAGGGCTTTTGCAGCACATTTGCCCAGTGAAATATGGCATCTGATTTGTTGACTGCTATTTCCATGGGTGTTGATTGTGGATCCAAGTAAAATGAAATCTTTGACAACCTCAATCTTTGCTCCATTTATCATGATGCTTATTGGTCCAGTTGTGAGGATTTTCATTTTCTTCATGTTGAGGTGTAATCCATACTGCAGACTGTAGTCTTTAATCTTCCTCAGTAAGTACTTCAAGTCATCTTCACTTCCACCAAGCAAGGTTGTGTCATCCATATATCACAGGTTGTTAATGAGTCTTCCTCTTATCTTGATGTCTCACTTTTCTTCATATAGTACAGGTTTTTGGATTATTTGTTAAGCATAAAGATTGAATAAGTTTGGTGAAAGGATACAGTCCTGACACACCACCCTTCGTGATTTTAAACCATATGGTAACCACTTGTTCTGTTCGAATGACAGCCTCTTGGTCTACATACAGGTTCCTCATAGTACAATCAAGTTTTCTGGAACTCCCATTCTTCTCAATGTTGTCTATAGTTATGATTCATACAGTCAGATGCCTTTGCATAGTCAATAAAACAGAAGTAAACATCTTTCTGGTATATATATATTTAATTTTATTGTGGTTTGGGTACAAATTTACAGAGCAAATTTGTTTTACATTCAACAGTTTGTTCACATTTGATTTCACACCCTGATTACCATCCCTGACCATAAGAAACTCTCCCCCCCTTCCCTCCCTGTGACTACCCCCTCCCTGTGCCCTTCTTAACGATGCATTCCTGTCTCTTCACCTTTCCCTGTATGTGAATGCTGCCCCTCTGATGTCTCATGGCCAATTGCTCTAAGGGGTGCATCTCCCTAGAGTAGGTGAGTGTATCATCCTGGGGTATGTGTTCTACATGTAGGCCTTTCTACTGTTGGGTTGAGAGCCAATCCATGGGAGTGGATCTAATTCCAGGCCCAAAAGGTAACCCAGGGCCTAGTCCCAGGGGTTCCACCAGACTCTATCCAACCAGTAATTCCGGCCATTTTTGTGTTTTTGTATTTTGTTCCACATTTTTCCTCCCACTCTGTCCAGGATATCCAGTTTTGATCCCTTTCCAAGTGGTTAGCATTGGTAACTGAGCACCATCTAGGTCTTCTGGTCTCAGGTCATGAAGGCTGAGGTCCTTGTGGTCCATACTATCCTTGGACTAATTGTTTCTAGATGCCTTCAATTTTCTTCACTCTTTGATCCCTTTCTGGTATTCTTTGCTTTCAGTCAAGATCCATGTGACATCAGTAATGATATCCCTTGTTTCACATCCTATTCTAAATTTAGCTTGAATTTCTGGCAGTTAATCTACTGCTGCAACCATGTTTGAATTATCTTCAGCAAAATTTTGCTTCTGTGTGATATTAATGATATTGTTCTATAATTTCCACATTATGTTGGATCACCTTTCTTTGGAATGGGCATAAATATAGATCTGTTTCAGTCAGTTGGCCAGGTAGCTGTGTTCCTAATTTCTTGGCATAAACAAGTAAGCATCTCCAGCGATACATCCTTTTGTTGAAACATCTCAATGGGTATTCTGTCAATCCCTAGAACCTTGCTTTTTGCCAATGTCTTCAGTGCAGCTTGGACTTCTTTCTTCACTATCATTGATTCTTGATTACATACTACCTCCTGAAATAGTTGAGTATTCACCAGTTCTTTTTGGTATAGTGGCTTTGTGTATTCCTTCCATCTTCTTTTGATGCTTTTTCCATCATTGAATATTTTGTCCATAGAATTCTTTAATATTATAACTTAAGGCTTGATTTTTTTTCTTCAGTTCTTTCAGATTGAGAAATGTTGAATGTGCTGTTCCCTTTTGATTTTCTAACTCCAAGTCTTTGCACATTTTATTACAATACTTTACTTTGTCTTCTTGAGCTGCCCTTTTAAGTCTTCTATTAAGCTTTTTTATTTCAACATTTCTTCCTTTCACTTTAGCTTCTCTGTGTTCAAAAGCAAATTTCAGAGCCTCTTCTGACATCCATTTTGGTCTTTTCTTCCTTCCCTGTCTTTTTAATGACCATTTGCTTTCTTCATGTATGACGTTCTTGATACCATATTACAACACTTCTAGTCTTTGGTCCTTGGTGTTCAATATGTCACAGTTATTCTTCACATGTTCTCTAAATTCATGTGGGATATAATCAAGATCATATTTCGGCTCTTGTGGACTTTTGTTAGTTTTCTTCAGCTTCAACTTGAACTTGTATATGTGCAATTGATGGTCTGTCCTACAGCTCCTGGGCTGGTTTTGACTGAAGATATTGAACTTCTCCATCACCTCTTTCCACAGATGTAGTAGATCTGATTCCTGTGTATTCCATCTTGTGAGGTCCACACATATAGACACCAGAGCTCCTTAGAATGGTGCACAGTATATATTTTTATCTTTCTTTCTCCTACCTCCTTAAAATGAGACATGTAAATACCAGATAAGATCACTTGCATACACTATACCAGGTTCTTAACATTTTCTCTGGTTTATCTTTAGTGGTCTTTACAGGGGGAAAAATCCCATTAATTAAATTCAGAGTTACCAGAATTGCTAAGGGAATTGTTCTGAACACTGGTATTATGAACAAGAAGTGATATAACCTTTATAATGATATTATTAAAGTGATTTAGAATATTAAAAATGTGGGCAGTAAATAATGACAGGAGAATCCAGCCAGGGAGAATAATGGCTTCATCTCTTCATGAAAAGGATCACCAATGCAGGTATCTAAGGGGGCAGAATGGGTGATAAAGAAAAAATGTTGACAGTAATAAGGGTGATGATGGCTATCACATGTGATAACAGTTTGTATGATAGATATTGTTCTAAAGTGGAGGGCCAAATCTTATGCTTGGGTAAAAGCTAAGGGATGTTCTGAACTGTGGATTTTTATTTGAGAGGCAATGGAGTAAGATCATTGCCTGTTGGACACTTTCTACACTTTGCATAGACATGTATATAGGCCCTACTAGCCAGAGGAGAAAGGAGCTCTGGTGACATAGTGAGTAAGGGATTTGGCAGCTAACCAGCAGGTCAGTGATTTGAACCCATGAGCTGCTTCATGGGAGGAAGATGGGGCTATCTACTTCTGTAAAGACTTATAGACTTGGAAACCCAATGGGGGTCACTATGAGCCACAGTGAGTTTGGTTTAGTTTTTCGTCATCAGAGGAAAGAGTAACAAGGCCATTATCAGCTAATTCCTAGGTATGTTGGTGGCATAGTGCCTAAGGCATTGGACTGCTAACCAGAAGGCTGGTGGTTCAAACCCACCAGCCACTCCTTGAAGGAAGTTTGGGCAATGTACTTCCATAGTAATACTGCCTCAGAAACCCAAGGAGGGATCAGTATGAGTTAGATCTGACTCAAAGGCAGTGACTTTGGTTTTGGCTTTGTTGAATTCTCACCCCAACAGTCACTCTCTAAATAAGAAAGAAGGAGCCTGGGTGGCATGACAGTTAAGAATTTGGCTGTTAACTGAAAGGTACATGGTTTGAATCTACATTCACTCCACAGGAGAAAAGACCTGGCAATCTGCTTCTGTAATGATTATGGCCTAAGAAACCCTATGAGGCACACAATAACAGCAGATAATAAAACATTTTACTAGATGTAGTATGTTATTGCTGTTGGGTGTTGTCAAGTCAATGATGAATCATAGCAACCCTACATGACAGAGCAGAACTGTCCCATAGAGTTTTCTTGGCTATAATCTTTATGGAACTAGATCACCAGGTCTTTGTCCTGTGGAGCCACTGGGCAGGTTCAAACTGCCAACCTTTAGTTACCAGTGCCTAACTGTTGTTATCACCAGGGTTCCTAGATGTAGTACTTAGAATCAATAAAATGACAGAAATGAGGCTAAGTGATGAGCTAGGGAGAAGCAGCAAAGGCTAAAATCTTGGATAATATTCTCTTTTGAAGAGGAAAAGGAAAGTTTACCAATGAGGAACAGAAATAATGGGATGATTCTGAGAAATTTCATAGCAATGAGGTCTATCAGATTGATAATTATCTTGTGTTCAGAATTTTTTATTTTTGAGTTATTTAAAATGGCAAGAAGTGCTTAATTTTTCTGCAGACAACAACCCAGTGGGATGATGGCTAAGAGTTAGATGACTTAATGTCTTCCATCTGTAACTTTCTTTCTATCTCATTAATTCAAGCATGCAAGCATCATCTTTTGCTTCAGTGACCAAATTACAGAGTTATTGTCAACTCTACATCTCATGTTCAAGAAATAGTTTTCCTGAGAATTCTCTTTGTAAGGGTAGAAACTTGACAAAAGAAAAAGCCTTCACTTTATAGTTATGCATCTTGAAATTACTTAGTCCAAACCCAAAAAGATTCCTGTCGATGTTTTGTAATATTCTTTCATATTACTTCTGTTGCTTTTGTGATCTTTAATAAAATAATCATGTGTAATACTGCACCAGTATTTTACTATTTTCCTCAGTATTTCAGACACAAATATCTATTGACATGTGTGTGCACAACTAGATAGAGAGCAAATAAAGTTAATAATCCCACCATATACTATTTTAGCTCCTTTACATATTGTGTTAAATGAAGCTCCCCAAAACCCATAAGCAGAGATGCTCTCATTCTATAGACAAGGAACTTGAGACGCAATAAGTAATTTATTCAAAGTCCCAGTTAATATGTGATAAAAGAGGGATTCCAATCCACGTCTGTCTGAGCAATCTTTGGAACATTCTTTTGAAGGTGTGGGTAGGGGAGGAGGACAAGAGCTTGGGGCAGATACACAAGTTCTGATGGGGAAAAAAAAAATTTATTCCTGTCAAGTTGATTCTGACTCATAGAGAGTCCTGTAGGACAAGTTACAACTGCTCCATAAAGTTTCCAAGGCTGTAAAACTTTACAGAAGCCGATTGCCACATCTTTTTCCCACAGAGCAGCTGGTGAGTTAGCAGCTGAGTGCTTTAACCATCAAGGTTCCAATGAGGAAAGACAAAGATGAAAACATTACTCTGTTGCTTTGTCATTAATGGATGAACAGGCAAATGAAACTCAGTTTTAGCTTTGGTATGGCTGAATGTAAGCCATAAGACCAGTTATTATTTTAGTAGTGTTATAGATTGAATTGTGTCCCCTCAAAAGATATCTTGAAGTCCTAACTCTCCATACTTGTGATCGTGACCTTGTTTGGAAATAGGCTTTGAAGATGTTATCTGTTAAATTAACATAAGGTCATACTGAACTAAAAAAGAAAAAATAAAGCTCCCTGCCATCGAGTCGATTCTGAACACATAGTGACTCCCTTTGGGTTTCTGAGGCAGTAAATCTTTACAGAAGTAGATTGTCCAGTCATCCTTCAGCAGAGTGGCTGGTGGGTTTGAACCATCAATCTTCTGGTTAGCAGTCAAATGCCTTAGGCACTATACCACCAGAGCTCCCTCATACTGGACTTGGGGGAGTGGTCTTAATCCAATATGAATGGTATCCTTATAGAAGAGAAGAGACAAAGACCCAGACATAGAAGGCAGATGGTCAAGAGACAATGGAGGTAGATGTTAGTGTGATCTACATGTAAAGGAATGCCAAGGAATGCTGGTCCTCACCAGAAATTAAGACAGATGCATGGAACAGGTTCTCCCTCAGATACCTCAAAAAGAATCAACATGGATGACACCCTGATTTCAGACTTCTAGGCTCTAGAACTGTGAGACAATAAATGTCTGTTCTTAAAAACCACCCTTTTGTGGTATTTTGTTACCAACAGTCCTAAGAGTCTAATACATTAGTATCCTAAATGTTGTGTATTAGAGCTCTCTGCCTAAAGGACTACAGACAACTATGCAATAAAAATAAGATTATAGAAGCACACTTCTCATGAAGAAAAGTCACAGTATAATCTCCTGTAATCATTTTCTACTCTGGAAGTTACTGGTGCTGGTTAAGATTTTCTTACTTGTGTCCTGGAAGTTGACATCATTGCCATTGTAGGCATTCTTTAGTTTGTTGGTCATCACACGGAGAGCCATGATCTGCTGCCTGATGAAAGTGTCAGGCCGTGTAATGTCCACGTCCACCTCAGGATTGTTGATCTGGTTGGTCAGCCCATCATTCATGATCTCAGGCAAATATCTGCAGGACAAAGAGGAAGAGGTGATGCCACAGGAACATCAAAACCAGATTCTTCCATGCTGTCTCCAACAGTGAGCCAAGACACCTGACAAAAATTGGGCCGAGTTCCTGGAAAAGTGCTAAAGAGTAAAACAGAATAAATTTTCACCAAAAGAGATGTAGCTAAAATAGCTTTAAGGCAAGTTTTAAAGTAGCACTGGATTCTTAGGTAGACCAGTCTATAAATATATATTCAAGTGGGGACTTAGAGAAATCATTACTTAAATCTGCTCTTATCTCCTTCCATGGAAGTGGAATGCTTACTCCTCAGCTGTTAGATCATTCGAATGAAGGATTTAGGAATAAATAAGAAACATACTTAGGTAGCTTCCCAAAATGTCTTTTCGTTTTGATATTAAGAACCAGACTTATAAATGACATTTGACCATCTTGTATGAGGATGCTGTTTCTCAGGTGAGGAATCTATAACTCACATTTTAATCAGAAGACACTTGGAAATGTGAAAGTCATCTTGGCAAAGTTTTAGGAGTAATCAGTGATTATTGGAATGTTTGCATTGTCTATTTTGTATTAGAATTTTGAGAATTAAGTCAAAATTGGGTAAAACAGAAGGGTAAAATCTCATGGTTCTGAACTGAATATTTCTTTTACTTGGACTAAAATATCAAAAACTTCATTCCTTCAATGTCAACTGCCTAAGCCACCTAGGTTTACTTATACCAGTGGAAGCTAACGATCTTAGAAAAGTCCTTGAAGCCCTCCCTGACTCTTAACACTCATGACCTGTCAAATTGCCAGTCCTCTTACTCTTCTCATGAAGCTTCTCACACCACTTTCTTTTGTGTCCCTCCCTGGAGTGCAGATGATTACAGCAGCGTCAAACTGAGTTCCCTCCCTTGTGCTTTCCTTTTTGGTGCACTCTGCACATGTTGTCTAATTACTCATTACAAAATAGTGCTTTTATCCTGTTACTCTTCTGTATAAAAACTTTTGATGAAAGCAGCTAAAGTCCATTGAGCACTTACTAAATATCAGGCACTGTACTAAGCACTTCACGTGAATTTAAAATATTTTAATTTTGCATTTTTAAGATTCTGGTAATATATAACAAATCATTTGCCATTTCAACATTCTTCACGTGTACAATTCAGTGACACTAGTTACATTTATCATGTTGTTCAACTGTCACCATTATATGTTTCCAAAATTTCCCAACACCTTTAACAGAAGTTCAGTGTCCTCTAAGCAACAAGTCCCATTTCTCCCCTCCCTCCCACCTGTCCCTGGTGACCCCTAATAAATGTTGGTCTCTGTACACTTGCCTGTCTTAGATACATCATGTAAGTGTAATTACACAATGTTTGTCCATTTGCGACTGACTGATTTCAGTCAGCATCAGTTTTAAGGTTCATCTATCTACCTTGTAGAATTTACAAGCATTTCTAATTCAGTTTGCCAGCAAATCTGTGAGGTAGGTATTATTTTATCCCCATTTTACAGAATAGAAAACTGAGGTGTAGTGAGAAATAGGTAACTGTCCAAAACCACAGAGCTAATAGATGGCAAAACCATAAAATAAGCCCAGGAATTCTACCTCCAGAACCTATGTGCACTAACACTGTACTGCACTGCTCAGTCGATCATAAATTGCAGTTTATGCTTTATAGCTTAGCCATCACAGACCAGCTCCATCCAAGCTCTACTTTCTTATGCTACAAAACTCCCTTCAAGAGACTTACTTCTCTTTACAGGATTTACTCCCTTTATACATCGAATAAGGAGCCCTGGTCTTATAGTAGTTAAATGCTCAACTGCGAACCAAAAGTTGGTGGTTTGAACCCACCAGCCATTCTCTGGGAGAAAGATATGGCAATGTGCTCCTGTAAGGATTACAGCCTTAGTTCCCGCAAGATGGCAGACTAGGCAGAAGGACTGCACAGACCCTCTTCAACAAAGAAAAGGGAAACCAATTAACACAGACACAGAAGATAATCTTGGACCCCTGAGCCTTGAAGGGAAAGATACAGAAGTGGACTAAACCCCAACTAGCAGAAGAATTTGTGTGAAAATACCAAAAAAAAAGAGACATACGGAGCTGCGGTCTGACAGCGAACTGAGCGACTCTGACAGTACAGGTGGCTTGGAGATTCCCGACTGGTGCAACTCCAAGGACATTTGGGGCCTGCAAGACTGAAAAGCAATGGGCCAACGATAAAAAACCACCAAGAAAAGCCTGAACCACCCTTGGCTGCTTTTCACAAACAGTTAACAGAGGTCTAAATACAACAACATCACGATGCCTCGGAAACAACAGACCATCACAGTCCACACAAAGAAGCAGGATAAAGTGGTAGAAACAAGGGAGCAGGATACAGACCCAGAATACATCCCTG